GCACGAGCCTCTTGTGCGAGGCCCCAAGTCTGGTCCCCACACCACATGCCTACTCCTCACCCTCAACACACCAGCACAGGAGGTGGCCCCTACAAAAAAAAAAAAAAACAATAAACTGCACTTTATGATCACTGTATCACTGTCATCCCACTGTTCATCGATTTCCTCGAGCAGGCACCAGTAACGTCTCCATTCGTCCTAGCCCTGAGATTTTAACAAGTGCCACATTGGAGGCTCTTTCAGGGTCAGGGGAATGAAACCCGCCATTGTTACTGGGTCTTGGCATATCGAATACACCACAGGGAGCTTGCCAGGCTCTGTCGTAGCCTGCCGGGTTCTCCGAGAGCGAGAACTAGACAATAAGAGGTCGCACTTTATGATGTCTCGTGAAAAAAATTTGGGGGGGGGGGGGGGCACACCTGGCAATACTAAGGCTTTCCTCCTGGCTCTGCGCTCAGAGAATACTCCTGGCAGTGCTGGGGGACCATATGTGATGCTGGGGATCAAACCTGGCTGCTCATGTGTAAGGCAAGTGCCCTACTGGCTGTACTATCAGCCCCCCCCCCCGGTCTGAAACAGCTTTTTTATTTCACTGTCACTGTCCTCCCGTTGTTCATCAATTTGCTCAAGCGGGCCCAGTAAGAATGTGAGACTTGTTACTGTGTTTGGCATATCAAATACGTCAAGGGTAGTTTGCCAGGCTCTCGAGAGGGGCAGAGGAATCTAACTCGGGTCAGCTGTGTCGGCCGCATGCAAGGCAAACGCCCTACCCGCTGTGCTCACTTTGGCAGCACATATACTAAAATTGGAATGATACAGAGCTTTTTTATTTAAAAAAAAAATGCAGGAGTACTGCTATTTATTCCAAAATAGCATTTTTCAATGCCGATTCAAGAGACGCAAAATAGTCTGCTAAAGTACACTGGAATCTGGAGTTTCTCACCCTGGACAGGGGCTTACATTTAATAGGGCTATTTAATAATAATAATAATAAGAAGAAGAAGAAGAAGAAGAAGAAGAAGAAGAAGAAGAAGAAGTAGTTGTTTTCATCTGAGAGTACAGGGCTTTCTCACAATAATATTTTGGTTTTTGCTTGTTTTGGAGCCAAAATACTCAGCTGTGCTCAGGGCTTAATCCTGACTCTGGACTCAGCTTCACTACTGGTGGAGCTTAGGAGACCACATGGGGTGTTGGGGATCAAACCCAAGTTGGTCACACATAAGGTAAAGTGCTTTACCTGTTGTTCTATCTCTCTTGCCCTCATAATAATATTTTGAAGCAATATATACTTTGTGTGTGTGTGTAGATGGTACCAGGACTTGAACTCAAGCCTGTGAGGTAACAGACACAATGACATCCTCTAGTTCAGAATGAAGAGGTGAACAAGAAAAGCAATTTGCTTTGTTGTGGCGAGGCAGTAGTGGTAATATTCTTCCCAGAGAAACCGCCTTATCTTCCTTTTAAATGTCCACGATGTTGGCATTAGGAAAGCAATATATAAATGTTCTAGGAAACGCAAGCACATGGCATTTCAAACAGTAACAAGTAAAAATTCCTCGCCTTCCTTCCAACCTCATTCCACTTGCCACTACTGGTCACGTTCCTCCCATTCCCCCATTTCCAACGTGGCACTATTCCATAGAGAGGCTTTTCAAGCTGAAAAAAGTGTAACATCACTGAACAGAGTTGGAAAGAGATGCATGGAAACACTAGCATATAGTAAGGGGTGGGGGAGAGAGAGAGAAAAGGGAGGGAGGGAGGGAGAGAGAGAGAGAGAAAGAGACAGAGAGAGAGAGAGATTGAATCCTTCCTCTGGAGCATGAAACCAGGCATTTGGGGCAGCGGCTTTTTCAGTGCCTCCACTGAGGTGTTCTGGTCGGGGCCATGGTTCTCCACACAGGACCCCATTTCCCATGAACTGTGACGGTGCGCTGCCCCAACTACCCTAAAGGAACCTCAGCTCCCCACCGCTGGCTCCGGGGAGGGGCCCTTGCAGAGCTGGACGTCAATCAGGGAAGTAGCTGGTTGCAAACTCTGAACTTTCCGCGGTTAGCGCTCACCATCCTCCTTCACATGGGGGACAGTCAGCAATCCAAAGCCACAGACCCGGATGCTGCCATCCCCCCTGATACTCAGGCTGCCTCCAGTTCCAACTTGCTGCATGAGAGCCCTGCAGGCTTGGGAGCAGAAGGTGGGGCCGTTGATGGACTGGGCAGGTGGGCTGCACTGGGGGTTAGGGGCAAAAATACTGCAGAGCAGGGAAAACCAGCATAGACACCTGACGCCACCTCCAACTTCACTAGAGTGGGACGCCCCTCCCTCCAGGAGGACCAAGTCAGAAGATGCTTAACCGCGGGCTCTTCCTATCAACTGGTCCTGAATAGGGTGCGTTCAGCCAACTGACATCTGACATCAGTGGTTGGTCATCTACATGACCCCCTTTGCAGGGAAAAAAAAAAAAAAGGAAAACTTTTTACTTAGTGTCCTTCTGAAAAACCTACTTTAAGAGAAAGCATAGAAAGTGCTCCCAAATTGCAGCCAAGGCTACGATCACCCCTTGGAATTTTCTGGCACCCCCATCTCTGGTCTTAGAATCTGCCCCCCCCCTTGAGTTAGGTCAACTGTATTGCACATTCATGTGTCACTTCTACCTGGAGCTTGTAGTGACTGAGCATAAAGTCAAGGAATGAATGAAGTGAGAGGACCCACCTCCCCCAGCCCGGATGCAGGATGCTGGGGGAGGAGGGGGGGTGTCCAGACAAAGCAATTCATGTTTCAATGAACTCTAGACTCCACAACCACAAATTCCCCAAGAGCAGCACAGGCTGCAAAAGTCAGCCTCCCAGTTGCTTTAGGAACAATCTCTTGCTCAGTTCCTTTCCCAAGAACCCCAGACACTTGGCTCAGGCTCCCTGGGGCCCTTCTCTGAGTCTATGGTCCCATGTGCCACTTCACTGCTGCAACCCGGAACTGCCAACAGGCGCGGGGGGGGGGGGGGGGGGTTGTGGGGATGTGGGGATGTGGGGATGTGGGGATGTGGGGATGTGGAGATGTGGGGATGTTTGTTGGTTTGTTGCTGTTATTTGGGTTTGGGTTTTTTTGTTTTGTTTTGTTTTGGGGCCACACTGGGCTGTGCTCAAGGATAACTCATGGTAGGTTCAGGACACCGTATAATGGTGCCCCATTTAAGCCGGGTCAGCCAAGTGCAAGGCAAGAAGGCAAGCACCCTGTCCACTGTACTATGGCGTTGGTCCCTGGTATTTTTGCTTTGGAGGCTAAATTTGGCAGTGTTTAGGGGTTACTCTGGGCTCTGTGCTTGGGGTCAATTCAGCATTGCTTGGGGGTGGGGTAGGGGGTCACCAGGATGCTGGGGAGTTGAACCCACAAGCCTCCTCCATGCAAGGCATGCATTCAGCCCAATGGGCCATCTCTCCAGGTTCAGGGCGGGGTCCTAGATCAAGAGGGGTCCCAAATCCCGGTAGAAAATCCTGCCTGAAGCATGGGCTGGTGTGAAGGAAAAATAAATAGGTCTATGAGTTAAGCCTCACTAGCATTCCTGCCACCAAAGGTTTTCAGTGTAGGGGTCCCTTGGGACCCCCACCCCCGCCCCCACCCACAACACCCTAAACCCACTTTCATATTAAGGCCAAGATGCTATTGACCTTTTTTCACCGCCGCATTTTCAAGAGAGCATAGTGATGTTGTTCAGAAGCCACCTGGAGTGTGACAGAGGAAAGGGATGAACAACCCAAGCAGCAGGTGTTAAGGACCCGGTCTGTTAAATTTCACATTACACACCGTTACTACCATCAAAATATATCTGCAAAAAACAGCTCAACCATTTTGGGGTTTTTTTCAGTATGTGTGGGTGGTGGGAGAAGGGGAGATGAGGGGAACCCAACCCACGCAGAGTTCCACTGCTGGGTTTCATGTCAGCTCCCTTTCACTATTTCTTTTTTTAATTCTTAAATACAGTTGTTTTTTTTTTTAAGTCTCCGTTTGGGGGAAGCTGTAACGACAGTAAGGCACCTACCTGGCCCCGGGCTAAGCCCTGATTGGTGGTTCTATCGGGGACATCTCCTAAGTCCCCTGAGCACTGCCACCAATCAGCCCTGCACGTAGAGGCGGGCGTGATCCCAGAGCACTGCCAGGAGTCAGCCCTGAGCAACACCGGATGAGACTCCACACCTCCCCTCCCCCCCATTCCTTCCCCAAAAGGTCTCCGTCCTATTTTTACGATAAAGAGTCCAGAGAAACAAAAGTTCCATAGCACATATTAAGCGTGTAGAGCCGGAGGGAGAGAGCTCAACCCGCTGCGCGCAAACTTTGCTTTGTGGGAGACTGGACTGGAGCCTGGGCCAGGGCACCGCCAGCTCCCAGAGCACCGTCCGGCTCGGAGGGTCCCCCACCCCCACCCCCAGCCTCGCCAGAGGTGACCTCAGAACAGAACAGAGAGAGAAAAGGAAAGTTTTGTAGGAGTTTGGGACCCTCTGTTCTCAAAATCCGATCCCGCTGCCCCGCATCCCCCACCGCCCCAAGGAGAGTCTCCTTGAGAGTTTCCAGGGAGTCGCGTGCGGTGCCGACGGCGGCTCCGGTGGGGGAGCAGGCGGTGCCCATCTCCCACGGAAGGGCCCCACGCCTCACCCCATCCTCCCCCGGCCACCCGGGGTGAAGTCGCCGAGCTGCCCGCGCCGCCAGCACGCCTCGGCCGGGGAGGCCCCGCGCACTCGGACGCCGCTCGGTCCCTCCGGCCCGCGCCGACTCGGAGCAGGGCGACCGGGTGGTCACTTCCAGCCCCCCGGGCCCGGGCCCCGACTCCCGCGCGCCGCAGGTCGGGCCGCGCGGCGGAGAGGTCAATGCCCAGGAAGGACTCGCGGATCTCCCCCACACCCCCAACACCACCCCCCAAGGGCCTTCCCGGCTCCCCGCGCCCCCAAGGCGGGCCTGGCACGGCGGCCCCGACGCCGCCCGCCGCGATGCCCGGCCCCGGCCCCACTCACCGCGGACGGCTCGGCCGGGTCCAGCTGCGGGGCGCGCTCCCGAGCTGCGCGGTGCCAGCGGCCGCCGCCTCCGCGCTCCGCCCCGCGCCGCCCCCGGCTCGCCGGCCGAGGGGCGGAGCAGAGGCGGGGCGGGGGGCGCCGGGCCCGACGGGCGGGGCGGGGTCTGGCCGCTGCCCGCCCCCCCGCCCGGTTCGGCCCGACCCAGCCGACTTTGCCCGGGGCGGGCTGGACGACCCCCCTCGGGGGGTCCGGGACTCCAAAGCGAGCGGAGCCGGAGGCCTGGGGGCGCTTTATCGCTGGTGCTCTGTTGCAAGCCGGAGCCGTGGGGGGTCCCGGAACTCTGATGCGAGCCGGAGGTCTGGGGGGGCCCCCTTGCCCCCGGTCCCAGGACTCGGATGCGAGCCGGAGGCTTGGGGGCGCTTTATCCCTGAGGGTCCGCTACTCTGTTGCAAGCCGGGGACCTGAGGGTCCCGGGACTCTGATGCGAGCTGGAGACCTGGGAGGGGCTTTACCCCTGGGGGTCCCGGGACTCCGATGCGAGCCCGAGGCCTGTGGGAGTGGGGGCTTTACTCCTGGGGGTCCCGGGACTCTGATGCGAACAACGAGACCCGGGGGCGCTCTCCGTCCACGGGGCAGGGCGGGGAGCGCTGGGATCGCGCTAGGAAATGAGCCACAGTTGTGGGGAAGAAAGAAACTCGATCATTTCTCCTATTTCGTTCTTATGGGGGAAAAAAAACGATTCGACCCTCGAGTCAGAGGCCCCGCAGGACTCGGTGGCACCAGGACTTTGGGTGGTCGCCGCGCCCGCTCCACCCTCCAGCCTTCTGCAAAGCGCGCCCACTGGACTCCGGGCTCGCGTGCCGGTGGCACTAAAGCGTTTCCAGGGTCACGAAGGCTCCGTGCCGATAAATGTCATTTGTTTCGTTTTCTTTCTGTTGGGTGAAGTGCACGCGGTTCCCAGTCGGAAGTCAGAACCGGGCCGAGGGTTGCCGCGGGGCGGCCCGGTGGCCTCCACGCTGGAGCCGCGAGGGACTGGCGCCCTCTCTGGCAGAAGGGCGTCCGGAGACGCGATCTTTCTAGAGAAAAGGTGGTCAGGGTTGTGTTGTCGCTGTCGTTTGCTAATAGGGGCCACTCCCAGCGCCCGCCTCCTGCGAGTTGAGGGTCTGGGTGGGCGGGAGGGGAGCTGTGGGTTTCCAAGTCACGCCCGCGCTGTACCTTAAAATTTTTTTTAAATTAAATCACCGTGAGATACACAATTATCAAGTTGTTTTTGATTGAATTTCATTCATACAATGTTCGAACACTGGCCCCTTCACCCATGCACCACTTCTTGCCACCAATGTTCCCAGTTTCCCTCTCTCCACCCCCATCCCTCCCCGCCCCCCATGGCAAGCCCTAGTCTCTCTGCGCGGCTCTCTCTCTCTCTCTCTCTCTCTCTCTCTCTCTCTCTCTCTCTCTCTCTCTTTCTTTCTTTTTAGACCATTACTATTACTTTAAAGGTACCATGCATAGCACTTTACCTTCTATCTGTACTCAGTTTGTGTTCAGAGTGATCATTTCTGACTATCATTGTCACAGTGGTCCCCTCTCTATCCTTAACTGCACTCCCCCTCCCTTTTGTGGCAAGCTTCCTACCACTGACCAGTCTCCTGGCTCTCTTTGGCTATTATTTTTTTTTCATTTTTTATAATTTTATTTACTGAATCACCGTCAGAGCAGTTACAAAACTTTTGGGTCTAAGTCTCAGTCATACAATGAAACACCCATACCTTCACCAGTGCCCATTCTCCACCCCCAACAACCCCAAGTATACCCCCATCCCACACCCTCTCCCTACCTATGGGGCAGATGATTTCCACATTACTCTCTCTCTACTTTGATTACACTCAATATTTTGACACCAGACCCACCAGTATTACTTGAGATTTTACCCCAACACTCAGATCTGCTAAAAAGGGAACAGTAGACAATTTGTTTTCTATTGCTGGTTAAGAATAACATATGATGTTGCGTGGCTGCTGTAGTGGCCATGTGATTTTGAAATTCCGAAATTTTAACACTTAATCTGGAGGGATTTCTGCCAAAACCTGCTGGGTTCCAAGATTTGTTCCTGAGTCTCTGGGATCATGGCCGTTTAAGCAGCTTGATCAGGAGCCAGAAATGGGCTTTGACTCAGGGTCTCATTGGGACGAGGAGGAAAAGGCCGGCTCTGCCCCCATCCTGTGAGGCCCTGCGTGTCTAGTCACTGCGGGCCGAAACCTGACTGTCCAGTGGCCTCTGGAGGATGGCAGCCACCGACCGAGCCACCTAGGGGGAGCAGGCAGAGAAACAGCCTGCTAACCTAACCCTAACCCTATCCCCCCTAGGGTGGCCCAGCGACAGTAACCTACTGTGGGTCCGGATGCATTTCTGCCAAAAGCCACTGGGTTCCGAGATTTGTTTCTGAGTCTCTGGGATCATGGCCGTTAAGCAGCTTGATCAGGAGCCAGAGAGGACGTTTGTAGGCAGCGACTCAGGGTCTCGTTGGAGTGGGGAAGAAAGGGCCAGATCCACCCCCATCCTGTGAGGCCCCGTGTGTCTCGTCACTGCCGGCCCAAACCTGACTGTCCAGTGGCCTCTGGAGGATGGTGGCCACAAGGCCGCCAGGAGTAACAGGCCAAGGCACGAAACCTATTCCCACCTGGGGTGGCCCAGCACCACCCGTAACCTACTGCAGGGACCGGATAATTTTCTGCCAAAAGCCGTTGGGTTTCGAGATTTGTTTCTGAGTCTCTGGGATCATGGCCGTTAAGCAGCCATGCCTCCAATTACATAGCTGAGCCGGAGGTGGTTTGTTGGTGTGGCTCTCACATACCTAGCTTTTGGCCGTTTAATTTCCTGGTAAACCTGGCCCCTGTAGGATAACATTGATTTGTCCTTTCTGCCTTGCCACAGGAAGCTGAGGTTTATTGGGTTACTCCCATCACAGTGCTCCCATTCTTCTATGTTTATTTGTAACCTCTTTGTGCTCTGTCTCCCCAATGGTCAGTCACCTTTATCTCCTAATCAGACTCTGTTGACTCGTAAATATTGTTTTTCTCTTCTCCTTGTGTCCTTTGCATAGTTAATTCAGAGTAATGTCCTTTTTGTATAGACATAGGAGGACAGTTAATGCTATGCTTTTGTAACTTGAGAAGTTAATTGACTCCAGATAATATTCACTCCTGGGCATATGTTCTCTCGACTTAACCTCAGTTGCCCTTACTTCCTAGCACCCCAGAAGCAGGGTCCTGACGAGAGACTGGATGGACCCAGGGCAAGCGGTGAACTACCCTGGCATTGAAATGGGCCAGGCCAAAGTGCCATAATACTTAACTATAAGTTAAGAGCATGGTCATGGACAAATTCTGTCATGATCCAAAAAGTAACGATTAATCTTTCCTAACCCTGGAAGGGTTAGGAAAGATTAATCTGGCCTGAGCACTGTAGTCTGAGATCTATAGTGAGATGTTCCCAGGAAAGCCACCCTACCAGCTTAATGTACCTCTTACTGTGTCTATACAAAATAACTAATATTAAGAAGTAGAATTAAGAGGTTAATTAAGATGTTAATTAGGTTATTGGACTAAGGAGAGGAGAAAAACCTGTAAGAGGCATTTAGCCCTTGAGCTGATCCCCTGGCTGCAGGCAGTCAGGAAGGGCTTTCATATGTTGATTGTGCTATGGGATCTAGGTCTGGTTGCTATCCCCAATGTAGGGAGTTGAGAGAGAGAGAGAGAGAGAGAGAGAGAGAGAGAGAGAGAGAGAGAGATGAGAGTGACGAGAGAGACCAAGGTAGCAAGTTGGAGTGAAGAGACAAGTGAGGGAGACAGGAGGAGATGGGAATGAGGGACTTAGTGAAATTGGAACAGGCAGGTGAGGAGAATGGAATAAGTGGCAACAGATCATCAACCAGCCTGACCCTCGTTTCCCCCTTCATCCGCCTATAGCATCGGCCGTTCCCGGTGGGGAATCAGCGAGAGACCACCGAACGCAGGTGGCGAGAGAGAGCCACGGGATTCCTAGTCATTTTATGATTACACAGGCCCCAAATTCTTGGCGTTCGGCCAAAGGCACAGTGGCAATTTGGGGGTATCAGGAGTCTGAAGACACCATCAGGCCGCTGATGCACTCACCCTGCATGTACAGGTTGACCTGCTGGGGGCGTCATACCCCCTGATTCATACACTTTAAAAAATATAATCATTCTGTGCAATCATTCTGTTTGTCCCTCTCCCTCTGTCTCATTTTACTTAGAGTGATACTCCATGTCCATTCATGTATAAATTTCATGACTCTTTTTCCAAACATCTGCATAGTGTTCCATTGTGTAGATGTGCCATAGTTTCTTTATCCACTTATCTATTCTTGGGCACTCAGATTGTATCCAGATTCTGCCTATTGTGAATGGTGATGCCATAAACATAGGAGTGCAGATGGCTTTTCTGCATCATGTTTGGGAGCCACTAAGATACATTGCTACAAGTGGTACTGCTGAGTTGCATGAAAACCCAATTTCTATTTTTTTGAGAAATGTCCATTTTTTTTCCAGAAAGGCTGGACCAGTCAGCATTCCCACTAGCAGTGAATGAGAATCCATAAGATACACAAAGGAAAATGTAGGCAGAACCTCCATGACATTGAAGCTAAAGGCATCTTTAAGGATGAAGCACCACTGGTCAAGCAAGTGGAAGCAAAGATAAACAAATAGGACTACATTAAACTAAGACGCTTCTGCACCTCAAAGGAATGATGACCAGAATACAAAGACAGTTTATGGAATGGGAGAAATTATTTACCCAAAACTCATCCAATAAGTAGTTAATATCCAAGATGTACAAGGCACTGGTAGAACTTTACAAGAAAAAAAAATATATCCAACCCCAACAGAAAATGGGGAGAAGAGATGAACAAAATTCCCTCAAAGAAGAAATACAAGTGACCAAAAGACATATGAAAAAGTGCTCTATATCACTAATCATCAGAGAGATGCAAATCAAAACAACAATGAAATACCATCTCACGCCACAGAGACTGGCACACATCAAAGACAACAACCAGTGCTGGTGAGGATGTGGAGAGAAAGCACTGTACCTTTGAGTTCTCCGCAAGCT